CTTTTTAAAGAAACATTTTGTACACAGTGAGCCTAGATCCAGGAAAGCAAATTATTTCCTTCAAAAGAATACAGGATATATATTTAGTATCTGATCAGCTCCCTTTTGTTACAAATCACAACGGCTACAATTTAAGGTAATAACTCACTAATAATTATGATGTATGTGTAATCTTTTTTAAAAACCGTTTTTACAAATTCTTTATATTACTTTATTTTATTCTCCCATCATTCTCGGGGCATCATTGTCTTTGCTGACAATTGAGGAGACCAAGACCCAGAACAATCCAGTGGCTTCTTTGGGGCCACCGAGCACCTCGATAACAGAAGAACTCAAACTGATTTCAGACTCTGCAGTGCCTGCTTTCCACCACTGCCATGTGTTATGAGAGCCTTTTAGTAGTTTTCTGGAATATTCAAGGTGGAGGAAGAGAAAATGCTAATTACATATCACTTTTGAGCCCTAATTACCACTAAATTCCTGGTAACAAATTTCTAATTAACTTGATAATGAATTGGCCAAGATAATCCTCCTATTAGACAAAAGCTACTAAATAACTAGAAGTTAGATGCTTTTATTTCAAGGATGTGTGAAACCTATGCATGGCTATTATTCTAGGAGGGAAAAGGAAACTGATTTGATAGTTGTGAGGTTTTTCTTGCCTTCCTGTCTCCCTGCATTTGAACAGACACACTCTGGAATGATGTAGCCATTATTACAACATGAGGATACAGAATTTGGTCCTTGGATATTAGAATATAAATTATGTTAGCTTGACAGTCATCTTGGCTCTCTTTTATTTATTTATTCATGAGAGACACACAGAGAGGGGCAGAGACACAGGCAGAGGGAGAAGCAGGCTCCCTGCAGGGAGCCCGATGTGGGACTCCATCCCTGGACCCCGGGATCATGCCCTGGGCTGAAGGCAGATGCTCAACCACTGAGCCACCCAGGTGTCCCCATCTTGGCTCTCTTTAAAAGCCTTTGTTTCTGGGTCCCATTTTCAGAGTCAAGAAAAAACTAACTTGCCCACACTTTGCAAATGAACAGAATTGACAAGAAATAGAAAGGAGGCTGGTGCCAGGACAGCTTCTTGGGTGTGTGACCTGAGTGTGGCCCAGGGTCCCTGTGTTCATTCGGCAAGGCCTGCTCTTGCTTAATGCTTTTTATAGCTGCCATCTTGAAATCCTTAGGTTTTGAGTAAGGGGCTCTTCATTTTCATTTTGCACTTAGCCCTTCAGATTATGTAGCTGGTCCTGCTTGGTGCCACAGGTGATTAGACTCAGAGATAGTAATCCCGCCAGATCAGAGTGCTGCCAAGATTTTAGGTCTCCCCAGAGAACTCGGGGATAGGCCAATATACTGCTGACAGGTCCAAAAAAGGGGGGTTCAGCCTCCAGTCCTATGCAAGGGCAGAGGGTTCACTGCCCAGCACCCAGCAGGAGGTTCCAGCCTAGTTGAAGCCAATGAGGTGCAGGCCTGGTGCTCTTACCCCAAGTGTCAAGAAAATATGAAATGTCTCCAGTAATATAACTCTGGTCTCTTGTTTGGAACCCTTTCCCACATATCTACTTAACCTATTTAACAGAGTGTCAGGTATGGTCAGATGGGAAACAGGTTCAATAACCAATAGGCTACAAGCTTTTAGATTTTTTAAAAACATTTTAATTCTTAAAATTATAACATTTTTACTTATTATAAAACAATATTCATTGAGAAACACATTTCATTACTGATGTCAGAAAAAAAAATGTAAAAAATCACCCATAGTCCCACTTGAAAGACATGATTATTATTAACATTTTAATACACATATATACATATATATAGTTAAAAAAACATTTAAAAACTGTATATGGAATCATGCAGTTGCGGTTTTTTTCGTTTAATATTTTGAGAACATCTGGGACACCTGGGTGGCTCAGTGGTTGAGTGTCTGCCTTTGGCCCAGAGCATGATCCCAGAGTCCCGGGATCGAGTCCTGCTTCAGGTACCCCGCGGGGAGCCTGCTCCTCCCTTTGCCTGTGTCTCTGCCTCTCTCTGTATCTCTTATGAATAAATAAATAAAATCTTAGAAAAATATATTTTGAGAACATGATCCCATACCATTAAATATTTTACTACTGCGTCACATTAAATCTACCATGATTTACAGTTTGTTTATTGAACTAACCTCTATGGCTTGATATTTAGATTGATTCTCATTTCTTGCTATTTTAAACAGTGCTGTGATGAACAGGTGTGTAGCTAAATTTTTGCAATCTATGCCTATTGTTTTAGAATAATTTTCTGAAAGCGAGTTATCTGAGTAAAAGACACGAACATATTGAAAGATACTTGTCCAATTGCCTTCCAGGACTGTTGTACCAATCTCCATTCCCATCAGCAGTATCTACGAGTTTGGGAAGTGTTTTAGAGTCCTACAGAGACCCAGTTTTGTGACTGGGTGGGAGGTGGTGATTCACACCTAACAAATCTTCTGGACTCTCATGGAATTTCTAGAATTGCAAAGGGTCAACAGGATGGGGATGTAAATGGTAGTTGATTTTATGATTTGTAGTCTAGGCAACTAGTGTGGGGTGAAAATCCTAAAGAGATAACTGCCAAGAGGTTGCCCAGATATTTTATTTGCCTGTAACTGTACCTTCTCATTATATATAACAGTATGATCACATGGTGCTGAATCAAAGATTTATAAAAATTGTACTAAACCCATGTTCTGTGATTTGGAGAACAAAACACAACAAGCCTTTGTTTTTTGTTCTTTATTCAATCATTAGTACTTGTTGGTTAGTTTGGATTCCCTGCCCTCTCCTTCCAGCTACCCTTGAGACTTTTCTTCTTTGTCCTTTGGAGAAGCAGAGGTTTGTGGTAGTTCTGACCATTCAAAAATGAGTTCCCTAAACTTCAGCCTCCTTTGTAAATAAAAATTCCGGCTCAAATCTCTTTCATGTTTATAAACACTGGGCCTCCTAATCCCCAAGTCTCTTTTCGTATCAGATTTCTCTTTAGGGAATCCATATATAATCCTTCTCCACAAAGCAGGCCTGCATCTGGGCTTCTGGAAAAAATCAATATGAGGGAAACACAAGTAAATCTACCAGAAGCGAAGCTGGAATTTAGAGGTTCAGTCAATCATAAGAGCCCTAATATTTATTTATTTATTTATTTATTTATTTATTTATTTATTTATTTATTTTCAACCAAGATTTTATTATTGTACTATAGTACTAACAGAGATAGAAGAGAATCTGAATTCTTAAAAATTATAGATCACACAGGGTCTTCCTAGTATGTGGATGTGTGATGTGCAGCATCATTTAAAGATAAAGCTCCCCTGTGGGTTATGAATGATACTCCTGGAATATACTCTAACGTCAGGAGAACCAATATGCTAGGCAGTCTTTTCCAGTGATGAGTGGTTTGGGTCTGTGGTTTGGTTACTTTCCTACACAAAAATGCAATGGATTATATAACCTCTAGAGTGGGCAGTCTTAGAATTTCCATGGTACAATGGTATATTCTTTTTAAAATGCATTAAATATGAAGTGACCATTTATCATTAATAATACCATACATTATTTTCTTGATCCCATCTCTCCTTTATTTCTCCTGCACATATCCTATTTTCTGTTTCCAGCTGCTCGCCTCCATTAATTTTCTTTGCTTTTAGAGCTTACACATCTCCTTTTAGTTTTCTTTGTAACATCTCCAACACATTTCTTTTTACATTTGTGATTTTTGCTTAGCTTTCCTCCCTTGTTTTTTCCACCAAACCCTGTTTATTTTTATTTTCTTCCCAATGGTCTGATTTCTCTCCATGCCTGTCACATTTACTTGAGGTTTGCTGCATGATTAAGATGAAGAAAGTCTTTTCTTCTCATGCTCAAAAAGGAAAGCGCTGCTATATAGTTTCAGCTTATCCTAGATTACTACCTGTCTTGAATGAGATCCCCAGTTCCATCCCTTATAAACCAACCAAAGTACAGTTGTGTGCTCTGTGTAGAACACATCAGGGCTATGCAGGTTCAAAATTTGTTGTTCTGAATTTCCACTGTTGTTTTCTTTCTTTTTTTTTTTTTCCACTGTTGTTTTCTTAAACATGATGGAGCATCCTTATCACCAGCTTCCCTCCTTTCTGTCTCTCACTGCTCCTGCTATTGACAGATGTTTTGAGCTAGAATTCACTCTTTTTTTCAAAGGGGAAATTGGTAGCCCCAAGCTCACTAATTGGAACTCCCAAAATGTTTAAAGAGGTATTAAACTCAAATGATCACCCTGAGAGGCTCTCTCATTTATGGAATAAAAAGAACTTGAAGGGACATTGAAAAATAATTCTGGAATTATTAGGAAATATAGTTTGCATGGGGAAGCATTCGCTCTGCTTGCATGTCCTTGTCACTGGATATGTTTCTGTCTTTTGGAGACTCTTTGGAAGATAGGTATCTATGTGAGGGGACCATCATATTCTTTCCTGAGGTCTTACTCCAGTCCATTCTTAAATTGGTATGTGTGTGTGTGGAGGGATAATGTGAATTCTCAAATATAGAGTATCTCAGACTCTCCACTGAGTCATTTCCTTGTTCTCATTAATTGGCTTAGACCCAGCTACAGAGTGGAAAGCTATTTTTATGCATTTGCTCACAACTGAGAGATCTAACACAAGATTTAGACAACACAGTTTGGCAGTTTAAAAAAGAGGAAAAGATGCCTTACTATATTCCATGAAATGAGGGCAACAACATGCTTCACATTTTGAGATCATCTTTGCTGTCTGAAGCATTCATGGATAAGTTAAGAATAATTTGAGGATGAAACAGCTTGGAGATAAAGATGATATTCTATCATTTTCCTTCTATTGTGTCTTCCTGGGGATATTTTTTTCTTTGTATTTGACTTTTTCATTGGTGGGATGGACTAAAGCTCTATTAGACATAAGCGCTCTGCAATAAAATGTGACTCACCTCTCCACTCTATTGTAAAAGTCGTAAAGGCAGTAACCCAAGTGTGTGGCTGACTCAGTAATTGCCCAGCATCATCTTTATTGAAATTATCCAGCAATCTAGAAATTACAAGTGAAATAACCCATGAAGTCATCCTGACCCAGCTATTCTGAGCCAAGGTAAGAATCTTTCTTAGGCCATTTTTCTATTACTCTTTCAATTTAGTTTTATAACCACTAGTCATACAACTCTGATCATTAATTTGGTGAATTTCTGTTCCAACTAGATACAGTTAAAACTACAGAACATATCACTAAGAGGCACAGAACATATCCTAAGATGAAGTAGCATTTATTTTTCAAAGAAAGAACAGATTGGAGGCCAGTCTGTGAAAGTCAGGAAAACCCACCAGAAGGTTTCTGGTGGTTACGAAATCTGATCTTGTTGGTGTCAGCGATGGAGTAGTAAGGTTTACATGGGACAGAATTTGTCTAGGCATTTTGCCTGGAGCAGTGGAGAAAGGTCTATGTGTATGAAGGAAAGGACTGCCCACCGAGCCTTCTCCCTTCTTGCTGTCAGCGCTGGGCATGGCATGACAAGAAGATGGGAAAGGTGGCATTGGGGGTGGATTGTGGGTGGGGGTGGGGAGCGTAGCTTGGATCAAATGTTTTCTAAGAAAATGCTATGAACCAAATACAAATAGATCTCCTAACTGTTAAGGGTCCATAGATTCAGCATGAAGGAAAACTAGAAACCATTTAGTCCAACATCCCACTGCAAGAGGTTACGTCCTTTCTAGGGCATTATTGACATGTGAGCAGCTGGCTTGCATTTGAATACCCCAGAGGCACTAGCTCACCAGGGAGCCCATTCATTCTAGTCTCAGATGGCTATGTTTGTTTTTCATGATCTGACATAATTTACTTCTTTGAAGCCTTCATCTGAATTAAGTCCTCAGTAAAATTTAGCATTTACTGTGGTTACTGTCATTCGCTTTTTTGCTTCATGAAAAACACCCAAAGGTTATCAAGGCTTTCATTTCCTCTCAAGGCTAATTTCTTCAATTGCTTAAACTCATGACTTGGTTCCCAGATCCCTTGCTGTCCTGGCTCCTCTCTCTTTTGGTTGCCACGTGGTTCACTACCCACCACGCAGTGACCAGTGCTTCCTGTGATCAATTCTCTTTGACATTTCCTGGCTCAAGTCATTCTGTCTTCAGGCCTCCTTTCATCTCTCTGCTCTGTGCTTATCAGAGACAAATGCCTAAAGTAGATTAAGGTGGTGATCGGTTGAGGTGGATGAAAACAATATATAGGTACATAAAGAAGAGCAAAATCTCCCATAGTGTCTATTTGTTGAAGAAGAGCTGGGTTAGGGAAAGTGATTTTAAACAAGTAATCAGGGACATAGCAAGCTCATATTTAGAAAGGCTTTGTTAATATTAAATAGAAATGATAGAAGATAGCAAGCTTTTTGTATTATTTATTTACACATAGCTGTTTTTTCATCAAAAACCAAATCAAAATAATCATCATTTTTGGAAGCAAAGCCATGTCTAGGTCAAATAGCTGAATTGTAAAAGAATAAGAGACTGATGGAAGATTAAAAATAGTGTGTTTTTCATTGCACATATTAGATTTTTAAGTTGTTCTTGGACAGTCTGGGGGAAAAACCGAGCAGAACCAGATTCTTCTTTCTTGATGCAGGCAATACAAGAATGAAACTGACAAGAAAGTAGAAAGCTCTTCTAAGCTTAGTTAAATTACCAACAGTAAAGGAATAGTTTCTCTTTTTTTTAAATTTTTATTTATTTATGATAGTCACAGAGAGAGAAAGAGAGAGAGGCAGAGACACAGGCAGAGGGAGAAGCAGGCTCCATGCACCAGGAGCCCCACGTGGGATTCGATCCCGGGTCTCCAGGATCGTGCCCTGGGCCAAAGGCAGGCGCCAAACCGCTGCGCCACCCAGGGATCCCAAGGAATAGTTTCTGAATGGTATGGATACCTGCCCTATGTTAAGCAACACAAGTAGAGGATTCCCATCCCATCATTGCATGACATAGTTTTCAAGTGATTTTCTTTTCTTTTTTTTTAAGGTTTTATTTATTTATTTGACAAAGTGAGAGAGAGCATGAGCAGAGGGGAGAGGCCTCTCTCTAGAGAGGGAGAAGCAGACACCCCACAGAGCAGGGAGCCTGATGCAGAGCTTGATCCTGGGACTCTGGGATTATGGCCCAAGCCAAGGGCAAATGCTTAACCAACTGAGCTACCAAGGTGCCTTATTTTCTTAATATTGGTGATGAATTTGTCCTAAGTGATCCCTTTTCTCTTGACCAGTTCCTCTTGTTCTCAGTGTTTGCCAAATGGCTAGCTAGAGAGAGGTCTGTTACAACTTCTACATGCAACTGAGATCTGGATTGCTAGTTTCATAGAAGACGCTGGTTGTGTCAAAAAGACAAAGTGAAGATTGTGGTTGGGGTCATGGGTATAGGGTAGAGAAGGTATAAGCTGGAAAAGATTGCTCACTCCAAGTGAGTGAGCCCAGGGAAAATGATAGTTATTAATAGGGCTCTTTTTTGCAGGTACAAAGATTAGTTTTACTTGGTGCTCCTAGATGAGCCATCGCCAGGGTCTATAACTATAGAAATTCAGGTGCTTGAAATTCAGGAACATAGTCCATGGGAAGCAAATGGGCAAACTATTGCAGCAGACATTGTTGGTTTCCATTTATCCCCTTCTTTGTCCTCAGAGGACTCTGATTTTGTGCAACTATCTCCCTTTTTAAAAAACAACCCCCTGCTCCCAGGGAGGCTGGCCCCAGCCCCAGGTCATGAACTGTGATTGAGTCAAGTAAATCATGGCAGTCTCTTTCCTTTGCAGGTGAGCACTGACACAGAAAGAGATTATGGCTAGTGAGAAAAAAAGAGAGACATCTATACTGGATCCTTTTGAAAAGAATTATACAGAGACACACATAGGGAAAGATAATTTGTCATTGTACTAGGCATTATCACATCCGGATGTGATGGCTGGAACTGCAACCACCATTGTACAACCTGAAGGAAGCTAGCTTGAGGATACAACCCACCTGTTGAGCACCACCAAGCAGACAGGTGGCAATACCTGGGGTCTGAGGCAACTGAAACACTGAATTAACCAACCACAGAGCTACCTGTTAGGGAGTAAACAGTCTCCAAAATTTGTAGGTTGAAGCCTTAATCCCCAATACTCTAAAATACAACTGTATTGGGAAATAGGGCCTTAAAAGAGGTAATTGAGGTCTAATCAGGTCAAATGAGGAGAGGTCTCACACAGGTCTGTGTGAGGAGATTAGGACATATAGAAGAAACACCAGCAAGTGCAAATAGAAGGGACCCATGTGCGAGCCAAACAGAGAAGCCCCAGAAGAAACCACACCTTCCACACCTTGATCTCAGACTTCCAGCCTCCAAGACTGGAAAAAAAAAAAGAAAGAAAAAATCTGTTATTTAAGCCACCCAGTCTGTGGTGTTTCGTTATGGCAGTCCTTGTAAACTGAGGCATGCCTTTCCTTTGGTCTTTGGCCATACAATTTTTCTGTTTGTTTGAGTAGGGTTTTCAGTTCTAACAGAGTTGTCAAAAATACACAAGAAAGATACCGAAGCAATATTTTTCTATTGCAAGTGGAAGCAAGTCTGAGATAGGAGAGAGAGCTATAACATCTAACACTGAAGGCCAGAACACCGAAGATCATCCCATTTACTGCTATAAACACAAGGACTGGCAGGTCATTCGCTAGTGATCAAGAGGAAGCTAAAGATGTCAGGGGCGTGGTGGTATTTTGATTTTTTTTTTTTCAAATGCCAGGGTAGGGCTTTGGTCTTTGCTCTCTCCCAAACTTGCCATAACTGGATCTGATGATGGAGCCTCACGAGGATATGGTTAGTGGTCAAAGGACAGAATGAAGCTGACTGTCCGTGTGGGGGTTTAGACTGACGACTATGACCTCAGCTAACCAATCAAATTAACTAGCAACAGATGAAAAACAAATGTTGACCAGCTTCAGGGAATGAGAATTTATAACATCCTACGTAGTAGTTAAATAGGATGGCATAAACCTACTCCATCTTATGGGTCTCCCCCTACTAATTTAGGTTACCCCAAGTTCTAGCTTCAAAGCAGGAAGTTGGGCAACCACTGGATAAAGACAGATCAACTGCCAGCATGTAAGTATTATATAGCTTACATATACCCAGGCTTAGCTCTGACCTATGAAATAAATGTTTTTCTCATGACTAATGCAGAGTTGTATTGGTTGAACCAACTTTATTTTTCTAGATAATAGTCGTCAGGTTGGCCAGAGCCACATTATATCAAACTCTCAATGCTTTGATTCAAATAGCTCCTCTTTGATCTTCCTGCTTCCAGAATATTCCCTTCTAACCCATTCTACTCCCTGGTGAAACTTCCTAAGATCACTTTGATTGTGTTTTTCCTCACCACCAAAACATTCACGTGGCTCTAAAACTATTGAAAACAACCTTTAGGATATCTGTCCAGGCTGCAGTCCTATATTCTTCTCTGAGAGTTCCTTTATCCCAGATGTGGGCCCCAGGACTCATGTTAATTCAATGAGTTCTCCCATTGTACAAGGAATAGACATGCAGATTCTCTTTCACAGAAATTTGGAATTGGAAGTCAAAGATGCTGGTAGCTTCTGCTGTTGTTTGAACGGAGATGTAAACTTGGGAGATGTGGGGTGGATCGTCTTATATATTCATGGGGAACAAAAAGAAATCGGTTTTGCAGAGGGGAAAGGATAAGACACAGAGAGAACCCAAGGTGAAGAAAGGACATGACTGGGTTGGAGCTGAGGGGTCCCAATTAGGAAGCCTGTGGCACTAGCTCCTGAGAGCTTCTCATTCCTAGTTCTAGCCCTTGGGCTGACCCAGTTGCTCACTCTGCCATCGGGTTCCTCCAGGTCCCTTTGTTTTTGGGTGAACTCATTCCCTTGGGCTTACATTACTTTGTGTAGTTTTCTGTTGTTTGTATCCAAAACCATTTGGGTCAAGGTAAAGGTAAAGTTATAAACTTTTGGCTTGATATTCAACACTATCCACAATTTAGCCTTTCGATACGGTTTTCATCTTAGTGAAAACCTTAGTTTTCATCTTTCATCTTTCATCTTAGCCCTACATAGA